GAAGGATAAGTTACTGCATCTGGCTGCTCCCACAACTAAAAAGGAAGCACAACACCTAGTGGGCCTCTTTGGATTTTGGAGGCAACATATTCCTCATTTGGGTGTGCTACTCTGGCCTATTTATCAAGTGACTTGAAAAGCTGCTAGTTTTAAGTGGGGCCCAGAACAAGAAAAAGCTCTGCAACAGGTTCAGGATGTTGTGCAAGCTGCTCTACCACTTTGGCCATGTGAACCAGCTGATCCAATGGTGCTTCGAGTTTCATTGGCAGATAGAGATGCTGTTTGGGGGTCTTTGGCAGGCCCCTATTGGTGAATCACAGCACAGACCCTTTGGATTTTGGAGCAAAACCTTGCCATCCTCTGGAGATAACTACCGTCCTTTTGAGAAATAGCTTTTGGCTTGTTACTGGGCCTTAGCAGAGACTGAACGCTTAACCATGGAACACCGAGTTACCATGCAGCCTAAACTGCCCATCATGAACTGGGTGTTGTCTGTCTGACCCACAGAGTCACAAAGTTGGACATGCACAACAGCAACTCCGTCATTAAATGGAAGTGGTATATATGAGATCGGGCCGAAGCAGGACCTGAATGCACAAGTGAATTGCATGAGGAAGTGGCCCAAATACCCATGGTCTCCACTCCTGTCAAATTACCTTCCATCTCTAGTCTGCACCTATGGCTTCATGGAGAGTTCCTTATGATGAGTTGACTGAAGAAGAGAAAACTCGTGCCTGGTTTACAGATGGTTTTGCGCGATATGCAGGCACCACTCGAAAGTGGACAGTGACAGCACTACATCCCCCTTCTGGGGCCTCCCTGAAGGACAGTGGTGAAGGGAAATCCCCCAATGGGCAGAACTTCAAGCAGTGCACCTGGTTGTTCGCTTTGCTTGGAAGGAGAAATGGCCAGATGTGCGATTATATACTGATTCATGGGCTGTGGCCAGTGGTTTGGCTGGATGGTCAGGGACTTGGAAGGAACATGATTGGAAAATTGGAGACAAGGATTTATGGGGAAGAGGTGTGTGGATAGACCTCTCTGAATAGGCCAAAGAAGTGAAGATATTTGTGTTTCATGTGAATGCTCACCGAAGGGCGACCTCAGCAGAGGAGAATTTTAACCATGAAGTGGATAGGATGACGCATTCTGTGGAAACCAGTCATTCTCTTTCCCTAGGTATTCTTGTCACTGCTCAAGGGGCTCATGAACAAAGTGGCCATAGTGGCAGGGATTAAGGCTATGCATGGGCCCAGCAACATGGACTTCCACCCACTAAGGCTGACTTGGCTACAGCCACTGCTGAGTGCCCAATCTGCCAGCAACAGAGACCTACACTGAGTCCCCGATATGGCACCATCCCTCGAGGTGGTCAGCCAGCAACCTGGTGGCAAGTTGATTACATTGGACCACTTCCATCATGGAAAGGGCGGCATTTTGTCCTTACTGGAATAGACACTTTACTCTGGATATCGATTTGCCTTCCCTGTACTCAATGCTTCTGCCAAAACTACCATCCATGGACTTACAGAATGCCTTATCTACTGTCATGGTATCCCACACAGCATTGCCTCAGATCAAGGGACTCCCTGTGGCAGGGGGCCAAGGCTTATGGAATTCACCGGTCTTACCATGTTCCCCATCATCCTGAAGCAGCTGGCTTGATAGAACAATGGAATGGCCTTCTAAAGACACAATTACGTCACCAGCTAGTTGGCAATACCTTGCAGGGTTAGAGCAGTGTTCTCCAGGAGGCTATATATGCACTAAACCAGCGTCCAATATATGGTGCTGTTTCTCCCATATCCAAGATTCACAAGTCCAGGAATCAAGGGGTGGAAATGGGAGTGGCACCACTCACTATTACCCCTAGTGACCCACTCACAAGATTTTTGCTTCCTGTCCCCATGACCTTATGCTCTGCAGGTCTAGAGGTGTTAGTTCCAAAGGGAGGAATGCTTCCACCTGGACACACATCACTGATTCCATTGAACTGGAAGCTAATAATGCCACCTGGCCACTTTGGGTTCCTTATGCCTCTGGATCAACAGGCCAAGAAGGGAGTTACCATACTGGGTGGTGTGGTTGATCCTGATTACCAAGAGAAAATTTCGTTGATATTACATAATGGAGGCAAAGAAGAATATGTCTGGAATGCAGGAGATATGCCTTAGGGCGTCTCTTAGTACTACCATACCCTGTGATTACAGTCATTGGAAAACCATAGCAACCCAATTCCAACAGGACTAATAATGACCTAGACCCTTCAGGAATGAAGGTTTTGGTCACCCCACCTGGCAGAGAACCATGACCAGCTGAGGTTCTTGCTGAGGGCAAAAGGAATATGGAATGGGTGGTGGAAGAAAGTTCTAAATACCAGTTATGACCACGTGACCAGTTGCAGAAACAAGGACTGAAATTGTTATGAGTATTTCTGCTTTGTATGTGTACATCAAATAATTTTGTTTTCTTCACTTATAAAATATAAGATGTAAATGGGGCTAGTGTGTTTTCAGTTGTATATGTGTTAGCTTTACGTGTTAGGCACAAATACGACTATAATTGTCTTTATTCGGAGATTATGTATGGTTAAAGGAGATGTGTGCATGTGCCAAGTTGACAGGGGGTGGACTGTGATGGTTAAGATTGTGTGTCAACTTGCCTGGGCCGTGATTCTCAGTGTTTGTATGTGATCACTCCCATGATGGAAATCAGTTGAAAGGGAGTTTCCTTGGGGGTGTGGCCTGCATCTGAATATAAGCAGATGTTCTGGCTTTTGCCTGCTCTGGATCCTGCAGCTGCCTCCTGTTCGTCTGATTTCCGGTTCTTGGGACTTGAGCTATTAGCTTATCTGCCGATCTTGGGATTCGTTGACCTTCACAGCCTGTGAGCAGGAGCCCTGCTCTCTCACCTGCCGATCTTGGGTTCGCCAGCCCTTGCAGCTGTGTAAATCAAGAGAAACCTCTATCCTGATCCACGGACTTGGGATGTTCCAGCCTCTACAATTGTGTGAGCCGTTTCCTTGATAAAAATCTTTTTATCGGTGTGTGTGTGTATATGCTTTACTGGTTTTCCTTCTGTAGAGAACCCAGTCTAAGACACCTATTTTTATTAACATTTGTTTAATGTAATAACTTTTTCCAGAACACTTTTCCTGATATTGCAAGAATGGAGGTGACTTCTTCCTCATCTCACATTTCTCTCAATTACACTTAATACGTTTTTTGCTTGTCTATAATAATAATGATTTTTAAATTTGGCATTTTATAGAATAGAATCTTGGTTCTATAGAGAACCTCAAAAAACACCCAATGTAATTTTTTGATTTTATGTATGAGGAAACTAAGATCTAAGATTTTCCCAAATTAATGACAGAGCCAAAACTAAAACTTAAGTTTGTCTTTTATTAAATGGATATAAATTCCTGTAGGGTAAGGGAGAAGGTTCTGATGAACATGAGGCGGCTTCCATATCCCACTGCAAAGAGTGACCTGGGAGGAATAGAACAGAAGTGCAGGCAGTAGGACTGGACAAGAGGGAAATGGGAGAGCCCTGCTGAATAAAGAGGGAATGAGAAGGGAACCCTCCCCGACTGCGTACATGTTGTTGTTGTTGTGTGCTGTCGAGTCGAATCCGACTCATAGCAGCCTTATAGGACAGAGTAGAACTGCCCCATTGGGTTTCCAAGGAGCGGCTGGTGGATTTGAACTGTTGACCTTTTGGTTAGCAGCCTGAGCTCTTAACCACTTCGCCACCAGGGTTCCACTGTGTACATAGGTATTATTATTACTGTCCATCTTTGATTTGGAATGTCTTAGATAGGAGAATCCTATCTGTTTAATGGTGTTTGTTTAAAAAGTATACTAGTTACTTTTGATGGTGGTGATAAGCAATTCTTTATTGTAAAGATCAGTTTCTCTGAAAGGTTTCTATTTTGAAACTACCCAGAGTTATATTTAATGCATACCTTGATATACATGGAATAAAATTTCTTTCTTTCTTAAAGTACAAATTATTTTACATCCAGAGCAGAGCAGATTTTAAAAAAAATGTATTATGAATTGGTATGTGGCTTATACAGACCCATCAACTGATGCATCAGCTTCTTTTGTTTTTTTACAAGTGTTATTTTTAGTACACTTTGGTGACAATCATTTGGTGGTGTGATCATGATTCTTGTTGAATTCACAGTTCCTAGCGAAGTCTTCAAACATACTAGGCAGTAGATAAATCCCTCTTGGACTGAACTGAAATGAATCCATAGTTAACATATTTAAGTTTAAGGAAGTTCATTCCACTAGCTAGTAAAGTGGTATAATAGATTAACGTAGTATGCCAGAAATTCTTTGTTATTGTTATTACAGTCAGAAGTCTGGGTTTTAAGTTCTCGATATGCTTGTTATCAGCTTTTTCTTAGTGAAATCACTGGAGTAGGTGTAATAAAACCTACATTACAGGACTGTTCCCTGTTTCACAGGAAATGAATATGAAGAATCTGTAAAACTTAAGTAATTTAAGTCTCTAGAAATGTATTTCCACATATTCCCGTAAGTATATTCTTATAAAATCTTTAAAGTATAGGTGTTAGACAGTCTACGTAGAGTAAATTTTGATGTGAGGAAATTATTAATCAAAGCAGACATTTCATAGGATTCACAGACTGTTGGCATCCTTTCGCCCTCTCTCCTAAAGGTGGAACAGGAGGGCAGGTGGAAGTGTTTCTCAGTTTACAGTGTTTCAAAATACATATTATTTTATTCTATTTTAAAGGGACATTTTCTGCTTGTATTTCAGGTAAAGTAACTACACTGTATTATACCTTTTGAACTTGTAGCATATTAACAGTTTAAAATTATTTAACAGGACATTTTATCGTTTTCAGTATGGAGTAAAATTTAATTGATCCTTTAAAAAAGAAATGTTCTAATAGTTACATAATTAAAATGAACTGATGTCAAGCACTAAAACTCATCCAATATTTTTATTTTTTTTAATTTTAGAATGAAATCTTGGAAATTGCTCTGGATCAGAAAGGACTTACCAATGATAGAAAAATTGCTTTCATTGATAAAAATAGAGATCTCTATATTACCTCAGTTAAACGGTTTGGGAAGGAAGAACAAATTATCAAACTTGGTAAAAATATATTTAATACATTTAAATTTTAATTGCTGTTTTCTTTGATCTTCTATGTACGTTGTAAGTTAAATCGTTTTCTTGCTTGAATGACTCTTTGAATAATGGTTTGCTCTCATAACATTTCTTAGCTACCTGACTCCATTTTAATAGCAGGTCTTGAGCTGCTGCAGCTAAATTGGTGTTGAAATAACACCTATAAATTAAAAATGTAATGACCCTAGGTAGTACATTCAAATATTTTCTAAATTCTTACATGAATTTTTGCATATGTTCTCACCATTACGCAATCAGAAAATAGAGTCATACCTACCAGAAATTAGATTGGGCCTTCTATGCCAGCTGATTTTAAAAAATGTATTTTTAATGCTTATAAATTGGAACTAGTAGTGCATTATCATCCTTTTTAAATTAAGGAACAATGGTGCATACGTTGGCATGGAGCGATGCGTGCAATATCCTTTGTGGACTTCAAGATACTCGACTCACAGTATGGTATTACCCCAACACAGTTTATGTGGACAGAGACATTTTGCCCAAAACATTATATGAAAGAGATGCAAGGTAATGTTTACTACACAGAATTCTACTTATTGTGGTAAATAAATGTCTAATAGAATTTTTATAAATCTAATTAAAGTATTTATAAACCTAAATAGTGTCGTGTTTTGGCCTCTGATTTCAATTGTGCAAAGTACTTTTCACTTTAATTAGATTCAACTAAAGGAATTGTTCAGTTAAAGCTAGCTTAATGAGATTTAAGTAGTATAATAAAGTTGAAAGTATTGTATAATCCAAACTATTTCTCCTTCATATAAATATAATTTTCAAGCTTAATTTTGTTCAGTGGTATTGCAGAGGTATTTTTTTCAGTGTAGTTTAGTATTTTAATATAGGCACTCTTAAGATTTTTCTGCGATGTACAATCTTGTGACAATTAGCCAACTCTTTCCTCTGTCCCAGAGTATTGTTGATGCTAAGACTTTCAGGAGTGTATGTGTCTCTAGAATTGACTTTTTTTCTTTTTTTTAAGTTGACATTAGAGATAGGAAAAAAAAAAAAAAGAGCTACTGAAAAGTTTTTTTTTTTTTTAATTTTTAATTTTCTGTGTGCTTCAGAAAATCAAATGCATTTATATTCCTGAATTCTCTATAGCAAGGAAGTCTCTTACTTTTGACAAAATACGAATAAAAAGTCTTCTCCGCTCTAAATCTTAGTTTAGCTTTCAAATCTGTTTTGAGTTCATTTTTAATATTCAAGTTCACAACCTTAGCAAAACCAGACAGGCACTAAAATAAAACAGCTTATTTTAAAAAGTAATTAAACTAATGAACAGATGTTAGTCTCTTTATTTAAAGTTCACCGTTTTTTATTATGAGAAAATAATGTTGGAATTCAGTTTAATTTTTATTCATTTACACTTTTATACATTTAAAAGTTAAGATGCTAAGTGATTTAATCATTTTAAAGTGAGGGACCTTAACACTCAGGGAAAAAAAAAAAACCCAGGTCACTTCAAATGCTTTTAGAAATAGCTCTCAAATATGTAATAGTTTTTGCCACTTTAAACTGTTTGTATATTTTACTCCAAGTGCGTATCGCAAGTTAGATTCAAATGTCTGTTTGAAAATACACATTCTCCCTGAAGTTACATAATTGTGTGTGTGTGTATGTGTGTGTGTGTGTGTGTGTGTGTGTGTGTGTGTGCACGCGTTTTGGGGTTGGAGACATCATATGTATGTCATGGGTCTACTCCTCAAATTTAACATATTTTACATATGAAAATTTTTGCTGAGAATATAACTTTAAGTTGCACTTTGCTCTTTTTCAACAGTGAATTCAGTAAAAACCCTCATATTGTGAGTTTTGTTGGAAATCAGGTAACTATAAGAAGAGCTGATGGCTCACTGGTTCACATCAGCATATCGCCATATCCCGCCATACTCCATGAATATGTAAGCAGTTCAAAATGGGAAGATGCTGTGAGACTTTGTCGCTTTGTTAAGGTACTTTATGATTCAGAACCCACAGTTGTGTGTGTATATATATATATGTGTATATACATATACACATACATATGTGTACTAGTTTACCATTGTGCAGGATGGAAATGACAACAGCTAAAGGTCATATGAGTCGAATCAATTAGATGGCAGCTAACGACAACGGTCCTTGGGTGGCACAAACGATTTGTGCTCAACTGCTAACCTCAAGGTTGGTGGTTTGAACCTACCCAGTGACACTGCAGAAGAAAAGGGCTGGCAGTCTGCTTCCATAAAGATTACAGCCAAGAAAACCCTATGGAGCAGTTGTACTTTGTTTAACACATAGGGTTGCCATGAGTCGGAATCGACTCGATGACAGTTTTTTTTTTAATAGTTTATTTTTGTTGTTGTTGAGAACACACTTAGCAGAACATACACCAATTCAACAATTTCTACAGGTACAATTCAGTGAGATTGATTGCATTCTTCTAGTTGTGCAGCCATTCTCACCCTCCTTTTTTGCATTGTTCCATCCCCATTACCAAAACTCACTGACTCCTAAGTTTCCTGTCTAATCTTTTGTGTTGCTGTTGTCAATTTGATTCCATAGAGATAGGTCTTAAAAGAGCACAATGCTCAAGGCAGACATTCTTTACTAGTTAGGCTAATCTATTACTACTTCAAGGGATGTTTCTGGTTTAAGGTTTAAAGATGATCTCAGGGCAGCAGTTCTAGGGTTTCATCCAGCTTCCATGGCTTCAGAAAGTCTGGAGTCCATGAGAATTTAAAATTCTATTCTGCATTTTCCCCCTTTTGATCAGGATTTTTCTATAGTCTTTGATCAAAATGTTCAGTAATGGTAACCAGGCACCATCCCGTTCTTCTGGTCTCATGAAGGCAATTAGCCACACATTCCATCTAGTCCTCCTATTCCTGACTGTCCTTGTTCCTTTGTTGCACCAGGCGAATAGAGAATAGAGACCAGTTGTTGTACCTTTGATGGCTGCTTGCAAGCTTTTAAGACCCCAGGCACTATACATGAACTAGTTTTTTTTAAGGGCTGGAAAATTGAGAATGGTGATGCCTTTTGAGAAATAAAGACATGAGTGATACAGAGGGGATGGTAGATATTTCTGTGTGATTTATTCTTTAAAGTAGTTTTTCCTTGAGGAGCCCTGTTGGTGTCCTGGTTAAGTGCTTGGCTGCTAACTAAAAAGTCAGCAGTTTGAACCTACCAGCAGCTCCGTGGGAGAAAAGACCCGGTGGTGATCTACCCCCGTAAAGATTACAGCCTAGGAAACCCTGTGGGGCAGTTGGGTTCTGTCATTTAGGGTTGTTATGGGAGAAAAGACCCGGTGATCTACCCCCATAAAGATTACAGCCTAGGAAACCCTATGGGGCAGTTGTGTTCT